GGCGTCGGGCTTGCGGCCATCCAGTACTGCAAGGCCGTCGGGGCCAATGTCTATGGCACGGCCGGCAGCCAGCACAAACAGGACTTCCTACGACAACAGGGCGTGCACTTGGTCACGAGCTCGCGCGACGCCAGCCAGTTCCAAGCCGACATGCACAAGGCCAACAGCAAGATGAACGTCGTCCTCAACTGCCTCATCGAGGACTTCATTCCCTTCTCGCTCGACGCCATGGCGCCCAAGGGCCGCTTCATGGAGCTCGGCAAGCGCGGCATCTGGAGCAAAGAGGAGGTCCTCGCCAGGCGGCCCGACTTGGCCATGTACGAGGCCATCGCCGTCGATCACATGATGGAGCAAGATCCCAAGTGGTTCGGCGCCATGCTCGACCGCGTCCGGGGCCTGGTCGACAGCGGCAAGATCAAACCCATCCCCCTCCACACATTCGACATGAGCACCGCAGACAACGTCACCGGCGGCATCGCGGCCTTCAGGTTTATGCAGAGGGCGCAGCACATCGGCAAGGTCATCATACAGATACCCTCAGCCATCGCACCGCCCCACACAGACGACGCACAGCGCCACGAGGCGACACCGGCCGACCGCCAAACTGACGGATGCTATGTCATCACCGGAGGGCTCGGCGGACTCGGACTCCTCGTCGCAGACTGGCTCGTTGATGAAGGCGCGAAGCACATTGTGTTGCTGTCTCGTCGCGGCAAGCCCCCGCCCTCCATCGAGACATCGGCCATCTGGCAGAAGCTGACGGCGCCCGTCCCGCACCGCAAGACCAACGTGCAAGTTCACTGCATGCCGTGTGACGTGTCGGACAGGCAGGCGTGCGCCGATCTGCTCGACAAGCTGCGGGCCAAGCTGCCGTCACATCCCGTCAAGGGCATCTTCCACGCGGCTGGCGCCATCGATGACGCAAAAGTCATCAACCAGACAAGGGACCGTATCGAGGCTGTCTACCTGCCAAAGGTGACGATAGCTAGCTGACCTCCTCGAAAAGCACTCAGACATTACATTCATTGGCTGCTGCTTCGCTGTCAGGTGATGGGTGCGATGCATCTCCATGAGCTATCGGTTGACACCAAGCTTCCACTGGGCCATTTTGTGATGTTCTCGTCCGTGGCATCTCTGTTTGGCAACTTCGGCCAGTCCAACTACTCGGCGGCCAACTCGTGTCTGGACGCCTTGACTGAGTACCGCCGCTCCAAGAAGCTCGCCGCCCAAAGCATCCAGTGGGGACCATGGACAGAACACGGCATGGCGGCAGACTTCAAGTCCCACCTCGACAAGGTCGGCATGCGCGGCGTTACCAACGATCTTGGTCTTCGCGTGCTCGGCGATGTCATGCGGCACTCTGAGCGTGTGGGCGTGACGTGCTGCCAGGCCCTCAAGTGGCACACTTTCCTCTCCAAGTACGACGTCATCCCACCCTTCTACGAGACTGTGGCGTCGGCTGCCACGGGAGGCGCCGCTGCAGGCGTGTCTGCCGAGCTGCGCAACATGGATGCGGCGGCCCTCAAGGAGCACATTCACAAGACAGTCGTGGAGACCGCTGCAACGGTCCTCGGCATGACGGAAGCGCCCCCCCTGGACTCGCCTCTGCAGGAGCTGGGCATCGACTCACTCGGCGCTGTCGAGTTCAGAAACGCCTTGTCATCCAAGATTGGCGTCAAGCTGCCGGCCACCACTCTCTTCGACTACCCCACTCTCAACGCGATCATCGGCTTCATCTGCAGTGAGATCTCCGGCGGCATTGACGAGGCGGCCGGTGTGGATGACACGGGTGTGCCGGTGCCTGTGGCCATGTCTGAGAGCCTGGCTGTGGTTGGTGTGTCGTGCCGCCTGCCTGGCGGCGTGACGACGCCCTCGTCCTTCTGGTCGATGCTCATGAACAGGACCGACTGTGTGGATGAAGTGCCACTGACCCGCTGGAACGTCGATGAGGTCTACGACGCCGATCCCGATGCCAAGGGCAAGTGCTACACGCGCAAGGCGGCCTTCATGGATGCGGCAGACATGTTCGATAACGCCTTCTTCAACATCGGCCCTGCGGAAGTCCAATCCATGGACCCCCAGCAGAGGCTGATGCTTGAAGTGGGGTACGAGGCCTTCCACAGCGCGGGCCTCAGCCGCGAGAAGCTCATCGGTCAGGACCTGGCTGTGTTCATCGGGTGCTGCAACCAAGACTGGAATTTCATCGACTTGTCCGACAAGAGCAGCAGCTACTCTGGAACAGGCGGGGCCAGCAGCATCGTCTCGAACCGCCTGTCTTATGTGTTTGGTCTCAAGGGTCCGTCCATGACCATCGACACAGCCTGCTCGTCGTCCCTCGTCGCCATGGACGCCGCCGTCAAGAACACGCGAATGGGGGTGTGCCGCGGTGCCCTGGTGGGAGGTGTTAACCTGATGCTCTCACCTCATCTGTTCATTGCCTTCTCCAAGGCACGAATGCTCTCGCCGGACTGCAAGTGCAAGACATTTGACGCCAAGGCCAACGGCTATGTGAGGGGTGAGGGTGCTGGCGCAGTAGTGCTGCGGCGCGCGAGCGACGTGGAGGCCATGAAGCTCCAGCGGATCGCCACGGTCCTCGGCTCGTCCGTTAATCATGACGGCCGGAGTGCCAGTCTGACCGCCCCCAATGGGCCAGCGCAGCAGGAGGCTATCAAGTCAGCCCTGAATCAGGCCGGCCTGAAGCCTTCGGCCGTGTCGTACATCGAGACCCACGGCACGGGCACTTCTCTCGGCGACCCCATCGAGTTTGGCGCCCTTCAGGTACACGCATTAATCTGACATGCACACGCACATCAGAAGGGAGGCATCAACTTAAATTACTGTCTCTCTGTGTCCTTGCAGGCTGTGTTCGGTCCGGGCCGCAGTGACAACAATCCTCTTGTGCTGGGTGCACTCAAGACCAATATCGGCCACTTGGAGGGATCCGCGGGCATATCGGGTCTTGTGAATCTCATCATGACGCTCCTGCACAGCCGCGCGGCGCCCAACCTGCACTTCACTCAGCTGAACCCCTACATATCGATGAACGAGACCTTCCCAGTGGTCTTCCCCACGGAGCCAGTGCCGCTGGTGTCCGGCCTGCCGGGCAAGGACCGCATGGTGGGCGGCGTGAGCTCATTCGGATTCGGTGGCGCCAACGCCCACATCCTGGTGGAGGCCAAGGCGCTCAGTGCGGCGCAGATCGATGAGATGCTCAACAAGGACAAGGCCTCGGCGGCGTTGCAGAACAAGATCGGGTTCATGTTCACCGGGCAGGGCTCACAGTACGTCGACATGGGCCGCAAGCTCTATGACAACGAGAAGGTGTTCCGGGAGTGCATCGACCAGTGCGCGACCATCCTGGATCCGCTGCTGCCCGTTCCGCTCACGGGCATCCTCTACCCCAAGAACGACAAGGAGAAGATCAAAATGCAGGAGATGATCGACCAG